TCAATTAAAAATGTAGATATCTTTAATAATAAATTCTCTTTTACTTTGATAAACTTAAAATGGAAGTTTTATTTTTAAGCTAAATAAGATGGAAGTTTTATTTTTAAGCTAAATAAGATGAAAGTTTTATTTTTAAGCTAAATAAGTTGGAAATTTTATATTTTAAGCTAAATAAGATGGAAGTCTTATTTTTTAGTTAAAAAGATGAAAGTTGTTTGGCCTACTTCTTTTTTAGTCTGTTTAAATAAAGATTCTTTCCTTTTTTAGAAACTCTTTAGTTTAAACCACAAGAATCAAGATTAATGAAAATTTTGATACATTTGACGTATTTTAATTTACTACCACGAGATTCAAAAAAAGAATTCTTAAACGTCGTGTCAAGTCAAAATAGGTCAAACAAATTGAAATGGGAACACTACTATTTTTTATTGATTGTAGTGTATCTGTCAGCTTGCACGCACTTAGATTATCCCATTGTGTACCTGATACCTCCTACCAACACAAGTACCAGATAAGTTGGATCACCAAAGCTTAGGTACATGGAAAGAAATCACTTTGTGTTTTATGCCTCCATTAGGATTTGTACCTGAGAGCTCATGATTCTTCTCACTTCATTGACTACTAGATGACACCCTTGGGTGCGATAATTATATTATTACTAAATATTTTGTAAATTACTTGCTCATTGCAAATAAAAACACAAATTGCTTCCACAGTAATTAGAGTTGGTAGTATACTCAGTTGCTCAAGTGGTAAGCACCCTCCACCTTCAACCCTAAGGTTGTGGGTTCAAGTCACCAATGGAGCAAACAATATACTCCTCACTATCAATCATCATCTAAACATGTCTTAATCCATAATTTAAAATTTTAGGTTCTCAAGCACAAAAAAACAAAAGATAATGTTATCTTTCTTATTCAGAATTATTATCTGATATACATTATCAGCACAGTGTGTACGGAAGGGGATCTGAAATTAAGATTGTGAACTGAAGAATTAAATTGAACCTTAACTAAAATTACCAGGAAATTATGTTCTCGATTTAAACTCTTTATTTAGAATGCAATCTTCACAAATCATAGCATTGTGAAAACACATACCAAGGAATCTCTATCAAGATGCAACGTACTACATTCTACTAGATCCACTCTCACTGAAACTCTAGTTCCGACTGCTAAAAACAATTCTCTTTATCTTTTTTGTAAAAATGTTCGACAACTAAAAGTTTATCCTCTCCATGTTACCAAATGACAAACAAGACAAAGACCATCTATCAATTTGTTCTAACAGCATAACAATAAAAATCAATGTGGCGGAGTTCTTCATATATGATCTTTCACATTCTAACTATTCAATTAAGATTCAACAGGCACTAGCAAGCAAAGAAAGAAAAGGACACGGAACCAATAAAAAAAATCAAGGAATCAATACCTAACACCAGCATCTCCAACAATACCAATAGCCATTCCAGCAGAAAGTCCAGCAAGACCACAAGCAAGTCCAGATGAGAGATGAGCATAGCCATCAAATAGGTAATACGACTTTGTTTTGGGGTTAATCCCAGTACTGATGATCACAGCAATAATCAAGCCATAAATACCTAACACACCAGCCATAACCACTGGAACAATTGATTTCATCACCAACTCCGGCCTCATCACTCCCATTGACGCCACTCCAACACCACTCTTTGCTGTTCCATAAGCTGCCCCCATACCTACGAATTATTCAAAATAAAATTAGATTTGTGATCAGTTGCAAATGAGCATAAGATGAGCTAGGCTGATTCACATATGATGTGCTCGTATCTCCAGCAAAGACGGATCCAATATTTAAATCTTATAGATGCAAAATTTCACTGTCTTAGATGGTCATAACTCATAACAGGTACAGATTTAATAAAATGATATAATTTTCAATACTGTTCAGCTCCATATGTAAATCAAAAGCAACAAATTGAACTACTAGTAATAAAAAAGCAACGCTAGCAAATTAGCATACGGAATAAAATATGATCAGAGGCTGATCGGAGATTTCAAGCTGGTAGATGCAAAGAACCAGCAGCAGTGCTAACATTATTCAAACGATTTCATGAGTTGACTAGAAGACGAAATTCAAACATCAGCTGCCATGGACTCTGCAGATCTAAGGTAGAACTTACATGAGAAGACGAGGGCAGCGGCAGCACCAAGGAAGCCGAAGAAAGGAGCAGTTTCATCTCCGGCAAAGTTCGACATTGTGGTTAAGATTTGGATCTGAGAATATTGAGTTTTGGAGCTGAATATTATTTTTTTTCTCCTCCCTCACACAGTGTCCATTGGTGTTGAAGCAAATGGTATAATCGATAACTTGGTCATAATGGGTTTGGGCTTTCCAGGCTATTTTGGGCCGACTGCACAACTTCGGATCTTAAGAGGGGATAACATTCAACACCAAACTATTTTGCCATACATACAGGGAAAACTACATAAATGGCCATAAAATTTAGGCCTAAGTCATCTGCAGTCCCTTAAAGTTGTCTGCATATTTCACATAGATACCTCAACTATGACTATTACCTATTGAACACCTAAATAGTTCAAAAAGTATAACCTATTAAACACAAAATGTTGATGTGGCAAAAAAAGTGTTTTTCACTTCAGCTGAGCGCGTGAAAAAACCTTAAATATTTTTTTATTTTTATTTTTTCAAAAAAAAATTAATACTTTTTGCCACTTGGCATTTAAATAGTTTGATTTTTTTAAAAAAATAATTTAAAAGTAATACTAATTATTAAAGCAAAAAAAAAAAAAAAAGAGCCCCCCCCCCCCCCCTTTCAAGTCGTCTTCTTCACCAAAGAAGACCTGCACATTGTTGTTTTTTTTCTTTCTTTTTCTATTCTATCTCTTTTCAACATTTATTAAAAACAATAAAAATTGAATCGACTAATTGAATTTGAAGGGAAAAAAGAAGAGAGAACATCAGGCTGAAAAAAATTAGCCGGTTGACGTCCATCTCGATCACCTTCGAACAAATATTACCATTCAAATTAAAATGTAAACCCATTAAAATTATCAAAAATAATATCAGATTGATTCAATAAAAATAATTTAGGTTCCCTCGATTTCTCTTTGCTATCGATTTCAAGACTCTCTTTCTTCATCACTCTTGTATCAGTCTCTTTGAATATCATTTTCTCTCACGTATTAGGAATAAAAAATAATAATAAAAGCAATTAACAAAGATATTGAATTTTGTCGTTTGAGAAAAAAATCTTGTTAGGAAGAAGATGAAGAAGAAAAGGGGCTGGGTAGGGTTGGGCTTCTCATTTATTTGAAATTTTTTTCATTCTTTTTAACATAAAATTCTTTTTTTCTTATAATTGTTGGACCCTACGACTAACATGTTATCTTTTAATTAGTCATTTTGCCACATCACAGCAAGTGCATTACACACACTTAATTTTTTTTACTTATTATCCGAAAATGTCTAGGAACAAGTTTTGAATAGATAAAAGTGTTCAATAGGTACTAGCGTTAGTTGAGGTGTCTAAGTGAATTATACAGACAACTTTTAAGGGGCCGCAGATGACTTAAGCCTAAAATTTAGTAGGCGTTTGGCCATGCGATACCATATCACGATATAGTATCGTGAGATGGAATCAGCATTTGGACATGCGATTTTACGCTGATTCCATATCATGATGTAATTCCATATTCTCCAAAAACTATGATATGGAATTATATGGGAATTTCATATCATGATTTGAGATATTTTAATACAAAAATTGATCCACGAGTTTATATTTTGTTAAAACAACCCCACATTTATATCTACTAACCATTTGTTTCATATGTAAATAAAATTTATAATCACATCATTACTTTTTAAAATTTATTATTCTCACCAACATATAGTTACTTTAACTCACACCAACCGATTGTT